CCTGTGTTGGCATGGGTTTCTTCTGGGTGCTTCGGTTTCCTTCATAAGTCCAGAGACATAAGTGAATTGTGTTAGCTAAATTGACCGTAGTGTAGGTGTTTGAATGAGTGTGTACGGATGTTTCCCAATAATGGGTTGCGGCTGGAAAAGCATCTGCTTCGTAAAACATATGCTGGATAAGCTGGCGGTTCATTCCGCTGTGGCAATCCCAGATTAATAAAGGGCCTAAGCGAAAAGAAAAACAAATGAATGACATTGATTGGAAGTGATGCTAAAGTTGTTCGTAATGTTTGAATACTTCAAATAAGTCATACGTTCATCAAGGAATTCAGAATGTTTCACAAAAAAAAGTATTTGTTTAAACAAAATTTTTTTTAATAACATTAAAAAATTCATTCATTTTTCTTTGGCTTAGTCCCTTATTTATCAGGGGTCGCCACTGTGGAATTAACCGCCAGCTATTCCAGCAAATGTTTTACACTGCGTATTCTCTGGTTCACCGGTTTCGATTCTCTGCACAGATTATCTGGTAATGTGAGCCATTTAAAATTAATATATTGCACCTTGCCAGATTTAACATTATTCTTACAGTGGTGTGCAGATATTTATGACACAGATAGCTGCTGGTAGCTATTGAGTTATTGTCTCATTATTAAAGGGCACTCGTTTTACCCCTTTTACAAGATATAAGATAAGCCCTTGGTGTCTCCAGAATGTGTCTGTTAAGTTTCAGCTCAAAATACCTATCAGATAATTTATTATAGTCTCCAGAATATTTTTATCCAGAATATTACATATATTTTGGTGTCTGAGTACATTGTTGCTGTTTTTGTAGCCTGTGGTTTTAAATGCAAATGAGCTACTTCTCCCTGCTCACCGTTCCCTCATGTGTGTCTGCTTCACATCATGCGTTACATCAGATAAACAGCACAGTGACAGAGATTTATAGATGTATTTGTTCTATTAGTGGTGGAGTTTAAATTCAAGCCTTTCTGAAATGATGAGTCACACACAAATACCGTTTGCAGTACACACAAACACACACATCAGCGTTTGCTGACAGCATGTGACCATGGTGATTATAATGATTAAGAATTACATAGCGATTTTACTGTCTTTATTACAAAATTTCTCTGTTTTAAAAACTTTTGAAAACTTATAAAAATCACAGAGAGTTGTAACAAATATTTTAATCCCAGTTTATTTGCAAAAAAATTGTGTGGACATCTGTATACATGTTATTATAGAAACATGATGCCTTTCAATCAATTTAATGGGCGGGGAAAACCGCACTCCTACCTCATGTTGCGGTGGGCCTCAAAATCAGTGGGATTTGGGTCCTAATTTAACATCAGGGAACTTTTAAAAAGAGACTTGTTGGGTTTAAATCACTCCAATACGACTGTGGACACACTATACATACAGACAGTGTCCAAACAACTTACAAAAGTTGATTTTCATCGTAGTTGCCCTTTAAAACAATTAAAGGAATAACTATTTGATAAAAGCAAATTCAATCATCTTTAGAAATTCAATGTACCTTTTGTTAAGAATCATTATATCTCTGTTATTAATACAATAAATTACTGCACTACTTTTTAAGCAAGTTTCTAAAGTAAAAAAGGCCATTTTATGATGGAAAACCCAACATTCAGTCAAAACCATGATTGTGCTTGGTTACTCGATGGTAAACAAAAATAGTTTCTTTTATTTGAAACAATAACCTCAAGCGTGGGCAGCTGAGCAGACTGACTACTGTTGAAAGAGCAAACACGCTCTCAATGTGTAATAACATCTCATCACTGTCGTTCGCACAATATTGATTTGATTTCATTACACTGGAGCGAACGTCCTTTGCCCGTAGCCTTTGGCGAGCGTGGAGCTTCTCTTCAGGTCCCCGGGGACTCGTGGCCCTTACACTCGCATTATGAGACTGTGTGTCTTTGATAGTGTGCGCGTCTGTGTGTGTGCAGCATGCAGAATGAGAGCCATGTGTCACAATGAACGCAGGATCCTGATGAAGCCATTATTTCCTGTAGGCCTCAGGGGCCCTTAGTAAAGTTGGCATCTATTTTCTCTCTTTTCTCATTCTCTGTTGTTGCTCTGGCATCTGATTTTTTCTGTTTGTCAAAACTCTATAAAAAGAACTCAAGGAAAAGACGCCGAATGACAAAGAGATGAATGATGTGCTTTGAGTTTGTTTAGTTGATGCTCTTGTTCTTGCTTTCTCTCATTATTTCATTAATGTACGCTTAATGAAGCACAATGCACAAAGTGTCTGACAGTAATTAAAAAAACAGAGCAGTCAATCTTTTGAGCTGCTTTTTTTTGTAAACATGGTGATGGTGTTAACACTCAGCTTTGAGGAGTAAACAAGACGTCTGTCATTAAATCGGATTATGTATTTATGCTGCATTTTATAAATTAACTCTTTTAAAATGTAACAATATTTAATATCTAAACATTTACAATATATAGTTTCTTAAAGGGATAGTTCATTAAAAGGTTTTCAATTTCAAGTTTCTAGTTTATTTAAATAACATAATTTTTTTTTACATGCCAGTGTCTACGAATAGATTACATTAAAAAGAACACAAGTAATCTTGACAAACTAAACATCTGTCTAATGCTACAACCCTCAAGCAGCCATTGCAACTAGTTGTTTTTCAATGGGAAGCTTATAAAGCTTAATAAAGGCAGCCGGCAGCTAGCTCACTGCAACTCTCACATGGTCGTCCACTGAAACTAAGCAGGGCTGTGCCCAGTCAGTACCTGGATGGGAGACCACATGGGAAAGCTAGGTTGCCTCTGGAAGTGATGTTTGTGAGGCCAGCAGAGACACTCAACATGTGATCTGTGTGGGTCCTAATGCCCCAGTATAGTGAAGGGGACTCTAAACTGCTCAGTGAGCGCCGTATTTTCTATGAGTTGTTAAACTGAGGTCCTGACTCTCTGTGGTTGTTAAAAATCCCAGGATGTAGATTAGGGGTTTAACCCCAGCATCCTGGCCAAATTTGCCCACTGGCCTCATAGCCTCCCAACTATCCCCATGTCATAATTGGCTTCATCACTCCTCTCCACCAATCAGCTGGTGTGTGGTGTGCTGTCTTGCGCAATATGGCTAAATTTACTGTTTTATTTATTTAGCAAATATATAATTATATTTGCTGAATTTGTGCAAGTCGTACAGAACACGCTTATACAGTATTGTACAGTATATGTATATGGAGTACATGATTATCATTGTAATAACAAGAGACACACGCATTCATTGCTGTACATCACGGTTTATTTTGAATGGTAAGAATCCTCAGAACAACATTCTAAGAGCACATTTAGTCCAATAACACAATATAGTGTTGCATTATGGATGGTTATTCGTTTGTTTATGTCACTGTTTCTGCCGAAGACCTGTTGTTTACATTGTTTACTATGCTACTTGTGTGCAAAAAAAATTGCATATTTGTAGTAAAAGGCAAGATGATGTTACAGTTTACAGTGTTACAACTAATATAACAGCCACAAGACTGTCAAAAAGAGCTTTACAGCAACATAAAACTAAAAATACAATAAAAAAGTGAAAAACAAAATTTTATTTATTTCACACAAGAAGAAATGTTGTATTGTTAGATTCCAGTAGGTATGTTTCCATCCAAAAATGTGAATTAACTTTATAAGCAAAACTGGATTATTGCATAAAAGATGTGCAAAGTAAGACAAAGAGAACAAAATTGTCACTTCCTGATTAACTGGCACCAACTATCAACAGTAAAAATGGAATTTGCTGTGGTAGGAGAAGCTGCATGAATTTTTTCTTCATTTCTGAATATGTGGTGGCATTTGAAGGCGTGAGACGCAGAACACAGACTTTCTTGATTCTGGAGGTAATAATATAATAACACAAATACTAAAATGCTTAAGGCATTTTAGAATGACCAAAACAACATTTTAGCTGCTTTAAAGTGTGCTCAGCCTGCTGGTTTGTCCCTTCACACATATATCACCAGATGATGTCTTATAACAAAATCACATGACTTTTAATGTGCATACTGGAATTTTTTCGGTAAAAGTGTTTCTGTCATAGTCTATGTGCATCTTTTTATATTGTATAAAAAGTTTATCTATTCAGTTATGCGCATATGTTTTTTATTTGCATTTTCTAAATTTATGCACATCTTTTAAAATGCATTTTTTTATGCACATATCCAAAATGTGCAAAAAATTGGTGGATGGAAACGTAGCTATTGAGACATAATACAAATATATAAAAAATGCTATGGAAGTCCATGGCTACTGCTTTATTACATTCTTTAATATATATATATATATATATATATATATATATATATATATATATATATATATATATATATATATATTTTTTTTTTTTTTTTGTATTTTGTGTAAATATGTGTTAAAAATAAGAAAAACAAAAGTAGAGGGTGAGTAAATAATGACAGATTTTTTATTTTTTTGCTGAACCTGTGTTTAATAATAATATAAAATATAAATATATAATATAAAAAATTTAAAATGAAAATACAATGATTTTAATAAAATTTGATTTTATCAAATGTATCTTAAATTAAGTATTATCTCAGTCTCCATTAATCTAACCACTCAAAAATGGGGTAGTTTAGTCTAAATTAAAATTTACTTCTCATTTACTGTCCATCAAGTTTTTCTGTTGATAAAACAAGATATTTAAAAAAATGTTGGAAACCGACTTTCATAGTTGGAAAAACAAATACTGTGGAAGTCAATGGTTACAGGCTTCTAACCCGTGTCTTCAACTCAAACAGGTTAGGAACAGGTGAAGGTGTGAGTACAGTAAATCAGTAAATCAAGTGAAGAATACAGTGAATGGTGACATAACTTTCAGCTTTGGGTGAACTGTTCCTTTAAGTGTATGATTTTCTGATAAAATTACCAAAACTGCTTGGATTTTATTGTCCAAAAATATTCAGTATAGGTCATGTTTTCCTGTTTTGTGTCCTCAGATTCTGCTGGAGGCGACTGTGGACCGCAAGGGCTACATTGCAGTGGACGACATCCTCCTGCTGAACTACCCCTGTTGTGAGTAACACACTTTAGATGTCTTTAAAGCATGTGTGAGTCAGATGTACAAACCTTTGCTTCATATCAGCCTCTTCATTGATGTCAATTTGTGATCTATGTGTATTTTGAGCCAGTGTGAATAAATATGTAAGAATTTTGATAAGCATAATGCATATCTTAGTAATATAACAATGTCTAATTGAGAATATATTTTATAGCAGTTATTTACAGTTAATTAGCCGTTGATTAGCAGTTAGTAATGAATGAATGAATAAATATGTAAGAATTTTGATAAGCATAAACCAGTAATGCATATCTTAGTAACATAACTATGTCTAATAGAGAATATATTTTATAGAAGTTATTTAACTTATTAATTCATGTATATTTATTTATTTATTTATTTATTGCATTATTATTATGATTCACAATTGGTGTTAATCAATATGATTATTTAATCTGTTTGTACATTGGAATGCTTTATGTATGTAACTAATATTATATATAACTGGTGAATAATCATAACTGATGCTTGACTTAAATTAAAAAATATATATTAATGTGCTATTTATTTGCAATAAAGTATATTACTTATTATTTAAATACATATTATAAAAGGCTGATATAAATACATATTAATGTGATTACCAAAGGTTAAAGATTGTTTGATTGATTGTGTTGTTTATTCAATTACAGTAAATATAATTAAATATATTTGTTTAATGCAATATAATTATATTTCCAGCATGTGCTTAGCCATTGACAAAAACCCAGTTCATTCAGCCACTGGTTTATTGTAACTTTCGTTAAAACTATTTCAGTGGCGATTTACATTATTCTCATTTACAGTACAGTTTTCTTAAGCATATCTTCCTATGCAAGTCCAGATGCATAAAGATCTTCCTGATATTTCTGTAAGCACATAATATGGATATCAAAGTCACCAAATTCACCTTTCATCCTTGTTTCAGTCTGTACTCTGGCTTCTGGCTTTTAGCTCAGCGGGACACTGTTATATTGTTTCTTTGATGATGAAAAGATCTAGTTTCCGTCTTGTATGAAAACTCTGAGCGGCAGGGTTTTTCCCCTTTTCTTTCTGTAGACCCTGTCACACTTCATTACAATTTTAGGTCAGTTTTACGAAGATTTTTATCATAGGAATGACTGGTCGATGTGCTGTATGATGATTGAATTATACAGAAATATTCAAATACATTTCAAAGTGTACATAAAGTGGCCAAATATAAATATTTGCTAAATAAATATTTATGAAACACACACAGTTAAAGTCAGAATTGTTAGCCCCCTTTGAAGTTTTTTTTTTTTTTTTTTTTTTTTTTTTTTTTTCCCAAACGAGGTTTAACTGAGCAAATACATTTTCCCAGTATGTCTAATATTTTTTTCTTCCGGAGAAAGTCTTATTTTAATTTTAGTTTTTAATTAAAAAAAAAAAAACATTTTAGGGACAAAATGATTAGCCCCTTTAAGCTTTTTAATTTTTTTTTTATAAGATAGTCTACAGAACAAGCCACTTCATAACTTGCCTAATTACCCTAGCCTGCGTAGTTAACCTAATAAACCTAGTTAAGCCTTTAAATGTCACTTTAAGCTGTATAGAAGTGTTTTTGAAAAATATCTAGTCAAATATTATTGACTGTCATCAAAATTTTTTATTTTGTTTTGGTTATTTATTTATTTATTTATTTATTTATTTATTTATTTATTTATTTATTTATTTATTTATTTATTTATTTATTTATTTTATTTTATTTTATTTTATTTTATTTTATTTTTTAAAATATTTTTATATTTTATTTTATATATTATATATTATATTTTACTATTATTATTATTATTATTATTATTATTATTATTATTATTATTATTATTATTAAGTCTTTTAATAATTAATACATTTATGTATAGGACTTTAATTTTAATCAAGAATTGAATTGTGTAACTCAACTGACACCTAAAATGGCATCAAGAGTTAAAGAATCATTGCATTGACGAAGGCTTGCAGCTGAAACATTTGTGTATTTCTTTTCTACTGGGATTTATTTAGTACATTATTGAGTGCGGACCTTCTTTGGTATTTGTCAAAATTGATTTAGCATAAATAGTAACAATATCATAACCAAAAATAATGTGTTTTTCCATATGGTCAAATTGGACAGTGTACACTGTTAGACATTTCTGTAAATTACACAGTTATTTACTGTATTTCACCCAGTATAATACTGCAAATTCCTTTTACGGTAAATAACTGTATTTACCGTTGCATTATGGGAATTTAGTGTGACGTCGAACAACATATACAGCGATGTACTGTATTTGTAAAAATTCGTGTATTATACTGTATTTTCCACAACTGCTTCAACGCCACCTTGCGGCGATTCGACTACTCTGCACCACATTTTGCCTGAGGACCCTGGAGCAATTCTGGAGGACAATTTATTAGTGTGCCTGAAGAACATACTGGATTTAACAAACTTTACTCTGGTAAGCTGAGGCAGTGTTTCATTTTACAGAATGTTTTGTGGACGAGAATAGAACAAAGTAAAGTATAAAGTTGGCTATTATTATTTTCTCTGGCTTGGCGTTATTTCGCCCATTTGAGAAATATATCATCTATTAAGATGTTACCTTTATTTAATTTATTACATTAACACTACTATTACTTTAAATAAGACTGTTTATGACTATTAGCCATTGTTCTCGTCATATCTTTTTATTTATTTACATAGGAACCGGTGTTGCAGCGTGTTTTGGTTTAGGAGGGAACCAGAGGTATGCAGACAGTTTTGGAGGACACTTAGCACGAGACAACGGTCCGGCAGAGAGTGTTTTCCCCCAGAAGAATATGAATGAAAGACCAACAAATAATCCAGGTAAAAGCGCGTCTGTCTGTGCTGACAACACTCGACATTGATTTGAGCACCTCTATTGGCATTTGTTTGCTCGGCAACATTGGCTGAAGCGATCTTAAAATGGTAATGTTAACTGTTAGCTAAACTGAGCTAAGTTTATACTGAATTGGACTCAAACTCATTTTAACGTGCAACGTTTAACTTATATTGATTTATACTATATATATTAGATGTTGTGAACTTATTTTTCTCTGGTTTAGAGTAACTTAACGTTAGCTTGAGAAAATAACATCGCGACGTAACCTATAAGAACGTTAACGTAAATCTATAACGTTACAATATGCATAGAGGTAAAGTTGGTTTTATATTCGCACATTCGTTCATTTAGAAGACTCTATACTGTTTACCATGTTACTTTGAATATTCGATCAGAATTAGCATGCCAGTATGACTTGAAATCAACATTAACACTGTTTATTTGACCGTGAGCATGTTGTACTTTGATAGTCATTAGCTGCTAAAATGATTTCGCTATTTAGAGTTTGCAAATAATACTTTTATGAAATTAAATTATTAAGGGGGAAGTCTGAATCTGCTAATATAAAACCAATTTTATCTCTATGCATTTTGCTAATAACCACCTTTTTGCTATTTATTGTTTGCTAATTATTTTTTTATCACAACTCTTGACATTTGGTTTAACATAATTGTTACCATTATATTTTTTTCTGTTTAGATATGGCACTGGCACAGCAGCAGGTTTTGTCTGAAGAAACAAACAGCATTTCGGAGGAACATCTTGATCAGCACAGCCTTATGCTTAAAAAATAAGCAAGACCAGTAAGCAACCAAGGTAAACAAATAAAAAAAAGTTGTGTGGAGGTTGTGGATTGTAGCATGGTATTCTTATCTGTATTTTTGGCTTTTTTATGGTCTCAATATAGAATACTGGGAGCCTGCCTGTGCAAACTGGACCTCATACAACAGTAAGTACTGTACATCTATTTGTTTCTCAATATATTAACGTTACTTTTAATACAAAATGTGTCACATGTTTAGTTGCTAGCTAAATAAAAAAATCGTTTTCCCTTTTTTATTAAACCATTTAGTAGGTTTTTTTCATCTTTGTTTATAATATTTTTGAGCAGATTGAGGTCTGTCATGGGTCAGACATTTCAAAATACAATAATTAGTATTGGGATACATGCATTTGTCTATGTATTAAATGTCTTTTTCCCCATTTCATGTTGCCTAAATATTTTGTAATAAATAAAATAATACAATTTTTTGTATAAATAATTCCAGAGGATGAAACAAAATGCACAGCAACAACCAGAGTGAGCCAGAAGATAGCAGGAGAAGTAGTGAAGAGAATGACAACCATGAACAACAGTGAGTTATCCTTCTTTCACCAGCTAACTGAGAACTTGGATTAGGCGAGACACTCTCAATAATTGTATCAGTATTCAGTCAGTTTTAGTTTATTAGGAATACATAAAACAAATAGTCTAATCTGTCCTGCAGTGAATCAACCCATCACAAATGCTACAATGTTTTTGTAAAACCTTGTTAGGGAAAAAAATAAACAGGACATTCTGGTTAGTTATCTTTTAAACATGGTAGTGAGCAGGTTATGAGCAGGAGCCAGTTGCTCAGTACCAGCTGAAAACTACCCCAACCCAGCTGCCATGCTTCAAAATAATTAACCAGTATATGATTTATTTTTTTTAAACAAGCTTCTTCTATGCTTATGTTAGTCTGTTTGTCCTTATCCAGAGTTCTTCATAATCCTGGACTGGGCCAAATCCTGACCAGATGCTGTGGTGGTCATGGAGGAGTGAATCCTAAAAGACACACGTGATCAATGAGTTTCCGCATTGATCCAATGGGCCAGCCTGACCACCCGCTGGTGAACTTTCAAGCCTCTGGTGCCTAGACTGCGGCCTTGCACAAGTTTGGCTAGAGGAGAACTGGTCGTGCCCAACTGAGCCTGGTATCTCTCAAGGGCTTTTATTCTACACTTTCGTCAGTTGGTGAAGTTTGTTCCTTGCCACTGTCGCCACTGGATCACTTGGCTACGATTGGTGGATCGGTGGATTTGCTCTTCAGTGTTTGGACTTTCAGCAGTGACATTTACTGCTTCAATTC